TTTCTCTAGTCTGTCAAACCAGTAAGTCTGGTCTTTCTTTGTGAGTTTGAATTTTGTTCTACATTTTTTTCCAGCTCTGTACAGGACCCTGTATTGTGATCCCTGTGAGAGTAGTCAGTGGTGGTAGCTGGGCACCATCTAGTTGTGCAGGGCTCAGTGTGGTGGAGGCTATCATAGTTGTGTTCCATTAATCTTGTGGACTAATCTTTCCCTTGTGTCTTTGGTATGTTTCATTGTCCCTTGCTCCAGATGGGGTGGAACAAGTGGCGTATCTTAGATGACTGCTCACAAGCTTTTAAAACCCTAGACACTACTCACCAAAGTAGAATGTAGAACTTTCCTTATAAACTATGTTATACCAGTTGAGCTAGATGTCCCCCCAGACCATGGCCCCCAGCCCTCAGCCTAGTAATTTGGTCCCTCGGGGTGTTTGGAAGTGTCTGTGAAGCTTCTATGGCTTTGTCTTGGTGAAGTTGTGCTGACTTTCCCAGTATTGTGTACTGTCTTACCCTTCACCAAAGTTACTGCTTATCTATCATCTGCTTAGAGTTTTTCCCTCCCCACCCCTCTCCTCCCTTGTAACCATCAAAGATTGTTTCTTTCTGTATGGAAACATTTTCATGTGTTTTTATAATAATGGTCTCATACAGTATTTGTCCTTTTGTGAGTGACTTATTTCACTTAGCATAATGCCCTCCAGATTCATCCACGTTGTGAGATGTTTCAAAGATTCACCATTGTTCTTTATCTTTCCATAGTACTCAATTGTGTGTATGTACCGTAGTTCGTTTATCCATTTATCTGTCAATGGACACTTAGGTTGTTTCCATCTTTTTACTATTGTGAGTAATGCTGCAGTGAACATGTGCATATGTCTATTCATGTGACAGTTCTTATTTCTCTAGGATATATTCCTAGGAGTGGGATTGCTGGATCGTATGGTGTTTCTATTTCTAGCTTTTTAAGGAAGTGCCATATTGTTTTCCAAAATGGTTATACTATTTTGCATTCCCACCAGCAGTGCATGAGAGTTCCAATCTCCCTGCAGCCCCTCCAACATTTGTTATTTTCTGTTTTTTTGATTCATGCCAGTAATGCCGGGGGTGAGATGGTATCTCATTGTGGTTTTTATTTGCATTTCTCTAATGACTAGTGATTGTGAACATTTCCTCATGTATTTGTTAGCTGCCTGAATGTCTTCTTTGGTGAAGTGTCTGTTAATATCCTTTGTCCATTTTTTTTTTATTGTACTTTAGATGAAGATTTACAGAACAAACTAGCTTCTTATTAAACAATTAGTACACATATTGTTTTGTGACATTGGTTACCAACCCCACGACATGTCAACACTCTCCGTCCTCGACTTTGGGTTCCCAATCACCAGCTTTCCTATCCCCTCCCCTCCTGCCTTCTAGTCCTTGTCCCTGGCTGTTTTAGGCATCTAGTGCTGCTATAACAGAAATACCACAAGTGGATAGCTTTAAAAAAGATAAGTTTATTTCCTCACAGTAAAGTAGGCTAAAAGTCCAAATTCAAGGCATCAGCTCCAGGGGAAGGCTTTCTCTCTCTGTCGGCCTTCTTCTCATCAGTGTTCCCCTGGACTAGGAGCTTCTCCGCACAGGGACCCCAGGTCCAAAAGACGCACTCCGCTCCTGGCACTGCTTTCTTGGTGGTATGAGGTCCCCCTGTCTCTCTGCTCTCTTCTCTCTTTTATATCTCAAGAGATTGCCTCAGGACACAATCCAATCTTGTAGATTGAGCCCTGCTTTACTAACACAACTGCCACCCATCCTCCCTCCTTAACATTGTACAGGCAGGATTTACAACATATAGGAAAATCACACAATATCAGGAATCAAGGCCCAGCCAAACTGATACACACATTTTTTGGGGGATGTAATTCAATCCATGACACTGTCCTTTGCCCATTTTTTAATTAGATTATTTGTCTTTTTGTTGTAGAGGTGTTGGATTTTCCTATGGATTTTAGAGATTAGGATTTTGTCAGATATGTGACAGCCAAAATTTTTTCCCTAGTATGTAAGTTCTCTTTTTACTGTTTTGGTGAAGTATTTTGATGGGCATAGTGTTTAATTTTTAGAAGATCCCAGTTATCTAGCTTATCTTCTGGTGTTTGTATATTGTTGGTTATGGTTTGTATCCTATTTATGCGGTGTATTAGGGCCTCTAGCGTTGACCCTATTTTTTCTTCTATGATCTTTATAGCTTTTGGTTTTATATTTAGGTGTTGGAAACCCTGGTGGCTTGGTGATTAAGTGCTATGGCTGCTAACCCAAAGGTTGGCAGTTCAAATTCACCAGGCACTCCTTAGAAAATCTATGGGGCAGTTCTACTCTGTCCTATAGGGTTGCTATGAGTCTGAACTGACTCGACAGCAATGGGTCTGTTTTTTTGGGTTTTTAAAATTTAGGTCTTTGATCCATTTTGAGTTAGTTTTTGTGTATGCTGTGAGGTATGGATCCTATTTCATTTTTTTTTCAGTGGACATCCAGTTTTGCCAGCACCATTTGTTAAAAAGACTATCTTTTCCCCATTTAATGAACTTCGGACTTTGGGCCTTTGTTGAAGATCAGGTGTCCATAGGTGGAAGGAAAAAAAAATCTCTGTTATTATGGAATTTACATTTTAGTGCAGGAAGATGGACAACAAGGAAATAAATAAAATATAGTATTTCTGATGGTGATACATGCTATGGGGAAGAATAAAACAGAGAAGGGAGATAGAAGGCAAGTTTGCATTTTTAAATAAGGTGGATTGAAAGTGTAGAGGAACATTTCACATCTTTATATACTTTTTTTTAATGGTAGGATTAATGAGTGTTTTCCTTGCTTATTATGTGGGTAGATTTCTGTATATTCCAAGTAAACAGTATAAAAAGAGAAGAGACCTTGTACAGTGGAATATCTGACCTGGGAATACGGAAAAATATTCGGGATCAACCAAAAAGACCCCCAAACCCATTGCCATCGAGTCGATTCCGAGTCATAACGACCCTATAGGACAGAGTAGAACTGCCCCATAAATTTTCCAAGGAGCGGCTGGTGGATTTGAACTGCCAACCTTTTGGTTAGCAGAAAGCTTAACCATTGCACTGTCGGGTGTGGGTTTTATTTCCCTGTCTTTGAAAAATCACCCCTAAATGTTCGGACCTGACTGCAGAATATAACCTACAATGTGTGAAATCTCAATCTCTCTCTTACTCATAGATATATTGCTGGTATATTGATTGCTATGTCACTTTGTTATTTTCCCCCAAACACTTACTTTCTTAATTATGGTGGTCTAAGGGCATTTTATAAATTGATTTTCATTTCTTAGTACAAACTATGGGGAAACCTCCTAACATGCAAATTGATTATCTGCTTGGGGTCCAAAAAAAAAAAAAAATGTTGCTGTCAAGTTGATTCCAACTCATAGTGACCCTATGGGGCAGAGTAGAATTTCCCCATAGGGTTTCCAAGGTTGACATCTTTAGGCAGCAGACTGTCACATCTTTCTCCTGAGGAGTGGCTGATGGATTCAAACCACTGACTTTTCAGTTAGCAGCCAAGTGCTTAACCATTATGCCACCAGGGCTCCTTCCTGCTTGAGGGTAATATAATATCATAATACCCCTTAATCCTGTAGTATCTCTTATTTTATCAGTTCTCCCCTTGAGAGAGCAAGGGACCCAGGCTAAGGAACAAAAGCTAAGAATTTTGATGGCAGTTAAAGTCAACCAGATTGATCGCAAGTTCTTGGATATAGAGACTAAGTCTACAAATGATTTTGGAATCTCTATTTTGTGTAAGGTCTGTGGTGGATGCTGGTGAGTCCCTTCGCAATCTGGTTCCTTAGGCCCCTCAGGGAGACTCTTAAAGGGTATGGAGAAGAAGGGAGACCAATGATTTGTCATCTCTAGGCAGAATAAAGGAAGTACAGGGCAGAATTGCCTGAGAAAGATTTGAAATTAAGCATTAGGAATACATTCCTGGATATCTGGTTTGGCATCTACAGGAACAGCAACCTGAGTTCCTCATTCTGGGACCTAAGTGGTGCTGGATCTGGTCTCTTGGGAGTTAGTGTGAGCCAGATCTATCTCCACAACTGAATCTATCAGGTCTTTGGGCATACAGGCTGCTCCAGGTGCTGGACCTCACCATTCTCCTCTTGTACTAGAAACATTTCTTAATTTTTCTGTACTTCAGAACTTTTCCCTACTTCAGTTTTCCCGGTTATGTAATGGCTAGGGTTGTCTTTGCCTCTCTTAACTTCTCTAGGAAGTTGAGGATATACAAGAGAAAGGAAGATTTACCCTCTCTGTAAATAAAACTAAAGCTCTTTGGAATTATATTAAAAGCAGCCCCTCTGCTAGACAGGTGTGTGTGTGTGTGGTGTTACACACTGTATCAGGTTTTTTTCACTTAAACAGACTCACTGAAATAACTATAACAGACATTATCCCCATGCAAGATTTGAGTTCTAGTGAAAAGATGGGCAACAGAAACTAGATCTCTTAACTCCCAGTCAGTTGTTTATTGATTTAATCGGGGTACAGAGGAGCTACTGTTTTGAGGGTGAGTTTCCATTACCGTACATTCACATTTACTTTGTTTATTAAAAGCTCAATGGATTGATTATTGATGGTCAGTGTATTATTCACCTAGTATTAGCCATATGACTGACAAATGATGATCATTCAATTGTCACATTTAATTCACATTACTATAAATACTTTGAATGGCCAGTCACTGCTCGGGAAGAAATTGCCCTCGTGTCTAAATTCAGGGCTCTCAACCCTGGGAGGACCCGTATTTGTTATCTTGAACTACAACTCCCATCGTGCAAGGGGAAACGTGCAGCACTCCTGCGGGATCCAACGGGACCGCTAGCCAATCCAATACAAGAGCTCTCATCAGCGACCTATTGGCTGCGGGTAAAGGCGGGACTCTCAGTTGCTAGGTTGGTACTTTTTCCGGAAGTGGTTGTTGGCCGCTGCAGGGCAACACCCCGGCGTCCCTGGAAGCGGGGAGCCGGGGTGCTGCTGGGGAAGCTGCGCAGAGGCCGGAGCCATCGGCCAGAGCCTCCTGGAGTTGGGGACGGGTGAGGACCTCCTCAAGGGAGGGGTTCGGTGGCGGGAAAGGAGGCAAGCGGGAGAGTTAAGGGCACACTTGTGTGCCAACGAGCGGAACGTGCATGAGTGTGGTCGGGCAGTGAGGGAAGAAGTGAAAAAGGAGCGGTCGGACGAGTGTGCCTCTACTCAACATCTCTTCTTGTCCTGCTCTTGAGTGGGCAGATGGGGCCCCTGGGCTGGAGGTGCTGGGGGTGATTGAACAGTGAGCCCGTGCGCGAGTGACAGAGGGCAGTGGGCAACGTGTGTGAACCTGCTGAGGGCGCTCGTTTATTTACCCTATTCACAGTGTGTAAGGCCTGGCCCTCTGAACCCTGCTTGAATACTTCACTGCGGGAAAGCTTCCCTTTCCGATTCCAGAGCTAACCCAACCTTATGTTATCTTTTGGCCAGCTAGGGAAGTTAAAAGTTTTATTTTTTCTTGCATGATTCAAAAATTTACCTTCTCTATCTAGAAACGCTCTCCTCACTTGGCTTCCACGACCCCGGCTCTCATGGTTCTAACTCACCCTTTCTCAGCAGCCTTTGCAGGCCCCTCATTTCCACTCACCACGCTCCATCTCTGAGTGTTTTTCACCCAGCATTTCCGTTACCATCTATTCAGTGGTGACTCCCTGAACTACGTCTCCAGCCAGATCTTTTTCCTAAGCCCAGACCTGCTTTCTGATCATTTTTAACTGAATGCCTCCCCAACTTTCTCTGGTTTCTCCAATCTACTTCTCCTCTGTTTCCGATCTCAGTGAAGGACTTCACCGTTCACTTGGTCAGCCAAGTTTACACCTGGAATTCATTCATCTAATGTAACATTTGTTGGGCATGTCCTATATTCTAGGCTGTAGATGGGGCTACCAGTTGGGCAAAGCATAGAAGTGAACAGATAATCACAATATACTAAGTGCTCTGATTTCCCTCCTCCCTCTCCCTCACTTGCTACATAAATCAAGTCCCACTGCCTCCTGATACCCCTAGAATCTGGCTCTTCCTTTTTGTTCTCACAGCCACGACTAAATTAATAATTTCTTGCCTTGTACTTTCCTGACAGCTTCCTATGTGGTCTTGCTGCCTCTGTTCTTGCATTCCTCTGGTTAGTTCTTAAGTGGCTGTCAGAATCATTTTTCTAAAATACAAACGTGATCATGCCAATTTCCTTCGTGAAATGCTGTGAGGGCTTCTCATCATGTCTAGCATGTAGGCTCAGTCCTTCCAGGCCCTTTATAATATGCTCCTTGCCTTCCATTCTAGATCTCTCTCCCACCGCTTCCCCCACTGTCCTTTGTGCTCTGATCATGTCAGAGTGGTTAAGAGCTCAGGCTTCGGAGTTAGATAGAAATGAGTTTGTGCTTGTTCTGCTGTGCCATTTGCTAGCTGTGAAACCGTGGGCAACTTTTTTTTTTTTTTTTTAACCTTGCTAAACCTCAGTCTCCTTATTTGAAAAATGGGGATATTAATGTCTACCTCATAGTGTGGTTAAGAGGATGAGGTGAGATGATACATGTAAAGCACTTAGTACGATTGCCAGAAAATTCAGGTGTTCAGTGAAGATAAGCTTTTGTTGTCATAATTAATTCCCTGAGCTCACCTTACTCTTTCATGCCTCTTTGCCTTTGTGTATGCTGTTCCTTCTGCTGTCAGTTCCCTTACTCATCTTATCCTGGTGAGCTGCTTATCCTTCAAGAACCATTTCAATGGTCTTCTACTTGCGATGGCTTTCCCTGATCTTCCAAAGTAAATTTAGTTCCTCTTACCTTTGGGTCCCATTGTAATTTCTGTTGCTTCCCTTAACGAGCTTAACCCGTTATGTACTCATGTACTTACATGTTTGGCTTCCCAAGTGGTCTGAGTTTGAGTTTAGCACCGTGTGTAATCAGGCTTGTAGCCCTCACACGTAGCACAGTGCCTGGCCCATGGTAGGCGTTCGATAAGTGGTTTTTGAATGTCTGAATGACCTTAACTTACATTCCCTGGTACTGGATCTGTTCTCTGGAGCAATGCAGAATAAGCCCTTTAAATACAATAATAGTAATAACAACAACAGCTAACATTTATTGAGATCTTGCTATGCTTTAAACACTTTACATGTATTGAATCATTTAATGCTCACAATCCTTTGACATAGGCATTGTTGTTATCCCCATTTGATGGATGAGGACACTGAGGCGAAGAGAGGTTAAGTAACTTGCCCAAGATTTTCCAGCTAGTAAGCGGCAGAGCTGGGATTCAAAGCTAAGAATGTTCCAAAACCTATGCCCACTACCACAACGCCATGAATGCTAATGTCTTCTGCCTTTTCCCCAGTGCCTCCTCCAGAAAATCTTTTCTTTTCTGTAGTGAACATTTCTTATAATTGTTGGAGCAGGGTGGTAGAAATAAATTTTCAGGAACCCAAATTATGCATATGAGTATGTGTGCTCTGTTAGTATGCATACTTTTTGGCTGTGCTGAGAAAGTAGAGAGTGTTCATAGGAGGATAACCTATGGGAAACAATGACATATAATGCATAGAAAAGATCTAGGAATACTTAGCTTGGAGTAGAGAAGCCTTGGCTTGCTGTTTGTAGGTCGAGAGGGCAGAACTGGACAAAGGGAAGGAGGTTTCTTAGAAATGAATTGGCAATACTCTCAGTAATAATTTTAACTAATGTTGAATTTATTTAACATTTATTATGTATCAGGCACTGTGCTAGGTACTTTAAGTATTTCATTTGCAAACAACCTTTTTTATTGTGGTAAAAATATATATAACAAAACATTTGCCATTTCAGCATTTTGACATGTCCAGTTCACAGTGACATTAATTATGTTCACCATACTGTGCAACCATCAACACAGTCCGTTTCCAAATTTTTTCATTACCCTTAACAGAAACTCAGTGTCCCTTAAGCAATAACTTTCCCTCTCCCCCTCCCAGCCAGCCCTAGTAACCGCTAGTAAACTTTATATTAGATATTTCATATCAGTGGGATCATACACTATTTGTCCTTTTATGTCTGATCAAAAAGCCTTTTTAAAAATTTTTTATTTTTTTTTAATTTGTGATTAAACAAATTTTATTGTGCTTTAGGTGAAAGTTTAGAGCGCAAATTAGTTTCTCATTCAAAAATTTATATACAACTTGTTTTGTGACATTGGTTGCAATCCCCGCAATGTGTCAGCACTCTTCCCCTTTCCCTTTCCACCTCGCGTTCCCCGTGTCTATTCGTCCAGTCTTCCTGTCCCTTTCTGCCTTCTCGTCTTTGCTTTTGGGCAGATGTTGCCCATTTGGTCTCTTATACTTGATTGAACTAAGAAGCACGTTCCTCATGTATATTATTGTTTGTTTTATAGGCTTGTCTAATCTTTGGCTGAAAGTTGGGCTTCCAGAGTGGCTTCAGTTCTGAGTTACAGGGTGTCTGGGGCCATAGTCTCAGGGGTTCCTTCACTTTCTGTCCAACCAGTAAGCCTGTTTTTTTTTTTTTTTTTTTTTTGTGAGTTTGAATTTTGTTCTACATTTTTCTCCTGCTGTCTTCGGAACCCTCTATTGTGATCCCTGTAAAAGCGTCAGTGGTGGTAGCTGGGCACCATCCAATTCTTCTGGGCTCAGGCTGGTGGAGACTGTGGTTCATGTGGTTCATTAGTCCTTTCAGATAGCCTTTTGATGTAGATTATCATGATTGCTTGAATTACACACATGAGGTTATTGAAGCTTAGAGAGGTGACATACCTTGCCTAAGATCATACAGCTAGTAAGTGAAAGAGCTGGGATTTGAATCCAGACTTTCTGGCCTCAAAGCTTGTGCTTTGACCACTATGCTGTCTGTTATTTGAAGCATGGAGAACAAAAATTTAGCATGGGAAGGGAAGTTGGACCAAAGCTACTATGGGCGTTTCCACTCTTGAGATTCCTTGGTTTTATGTTAGCGATTTATAGCAGTGATCCAGCTCCTACAGTTTCCATAGGCCTAGTTGGAAAGTGCAGAGGAAGGAGGAGGCATAAGCCTCACAAGTTTGTGGTCTAACAGCAGCACAGTCCCATGAAAAAAGTAATGTTCGGAGAAATGTGGCCATAAACACATGAAAATTGTGTCCTCAGTGCTGAGGTGGTTATGGGTTCTCAGGAGAGGATGAGGTTAGCTAGGGAAGGCTTCCTGGAGGAGGTGTATGAGCTACTCCTTTTTTGGTAGATTCTGACGTTGGCAGGAGATAGATGAGGGCAGTTGGATGGCTCCTCCCCCACAACTCCATGGCTTGTGGTGGGTCTCAGGCCAGGCGACAAGTAGGTCTCATTCGATCTGTTGGTAACCGCTGCGTGGAGTACCGTATTGATGGTTCTGAAACCATGTCTAGGATGCAGTTGATTAGTGATGTTCATCATGATCGCAGGCTTGGAGGAAAATGTGAGGACGTATTTTCCATACCAGATCTAAGGGCTGCTTACTTAGGCTTTTCTCATCTTCTCCTCTGTTAACACCCTAGTCCAAGTTACCATCATCTCTCACCTAGATGATCTCATGGTTTTCTGCCTGCTCTCCCTGCATCCACTCTGATTTTCTTCCTTCCAATCTGGCTTCCATGCCAGTCTGTATTCCCAACAGATGCCGGAGTGATCTCTATAAAATGTTTACCTGGGAAAACCCTTTTCTGGCCTCCGCTTTACGCTAAAGGCCAAGTTCTCGTCATCACCTAACTCCTGCCCACCTACTCAGCATCATCTCGAACTATGCTGCTTCTTGGTTGGTGGTGTTTCCTGTTGAAGGGCCTTTGCACATACTACTTCCTCTGTTAGAATGCTTGTTTCTTCTCTCTGTGTCTAGTGAATACCTATTCGTCCTTCAGTTCTCAGAATAAAAAAAAAAATCGCTCTTGAGTTGATTCCAGGTGTGTCAGAGTAAAACTGTGCTCCACAGGGTTTTCAATGATGAGTTTTTGGAAGTAGATCACTAGGCGTTTTTCTCAAAGTGCCTCTGGGTGGGCTCAAACCGCCAACCTTTTGGTTAGCAGCCGAGCACGTTAACTGTTTGTACCAACCGGGGACTCCATTTTCAGCATAGGCATCATCTAAATCAGGCTCTTTTCCTTCAGAGATCTTACCTCATTTGTAATAATACATTTATTTGTGACTGTTGATTTATTTGTCTTTCTCCGTCACTAGATTAGCTCTAGGAGAGTAGCAGCTACATGTGTTTCCAAGCACTGTTATTTCTCTAGTGCCTAGTGATGTGCTTGGCATTTGGTAAACATGCAGTAAATATTTCTTGAATGAGTAAATGATTTCTAGTAGCCATTAGAGCCCTGGTGGCACGTGGTTAAAGAGCTCAGGCTGCTAACCAAAAAAAAGATCGACAGTTCAAATCCACCAGCCACTCCTTGGAAACCCTATGGGGCAGTTCTACTCTGTCCTGTAGGATTGCTATGAGTCAGAATCGACTCAATGGCAATGGGTTAATGGGATAGTAGCCATTAAATAAATATGATTTATCTTTCCACCTTCCTCTTTCCTACACCTCCTGCCCCTTTTTGGTCCTGTCCTGGACCCACTTCTTTACTGAAGCCAAGTAAGGTAAGGAAAGAAGATAGAATACAGCCTACCCATATTTTAATTTTTTTCCAGCAGAAAATTTGCTTGAAATTTGGATGATCCATGAATTCAGATTCCCAGGTTCTTCCTGACCTTTAAATAGTTAAACGTAGATACCTTTTTTTTTTGCCACAAGAACAGAGATTTTACCTGTTTCATGCTTTCTGGAGATGAGATGAGTCTAGGGATAGATGACAGTTCTCAGTGCAGAATTTCTCAGATCCTCCGTAATGGTTAATACAATGCCTTGTATAGAGCTTGTGCTTAATAAATGCTTGTCGGGTTAAATAGTGCCCACCAGACTGCTATTCAGGCTGCTACTGATTCCTCCCTCCCCATGCATGGACCTTTTCTCTTTCTCTCCCCTCCCTAACTAAGAGGATTAAAGAATCAGGTGAATCCTTGAGCCACCAGGCTGTGGACCACATCTGTAGCCTTGGGTCGTGGTACTTTTCTGCTCTGCTTTTCGAGAGTCAGTGGCAGGTAGGCCCTACTCATTCCTGATTGTAGGTGTAGAGACTTGAGCATTACATCATCAAGCTATCTGTGTTCTTCATAGGGTAGGGAGCAGATTCCCACTTCACCTTATTTATTGCAGAGAAGAATCCTTTTTCCTTTGGTTCTTTCTTCCTGAGGTGAGAAGTTACTGCTTGGAGGTATCATGATGGGAACAAGATGGGGCAGAGTCTGGCTTCCTTGGAGCCCAGTGGACTAACACTGGACACAATGTCTTGTGAGCCTAAGGCAGGACACCTCCCTTGCCGTCTCTCAGCTGTCATGGTGCAGAAAGGGCCACAGTCACGGTCCTTGATAGATCCTTTGTTGTTTGTCAAGGGTCCCTCTCTAGGTATCTTAGAACAGGTTCAGGTTACCAGATCCAGCCATTTCCTGAGCCCCTGCCATCTTTTTGATGACAGTCTTTCTGTTCACTTCTCTTTGAAGAGAGCTTTTGATGCCCACTGCTTCAGGTGGCAGAGTGACAGTTTCTGAAGAGGTGGGTACCCAGGAGAGGCCAGGACCTGCTGCTGCAGACCCTTTTGGTCACACCTGGTGTGCCGACTCCTCCTCAGTTGGGGGAGGCACTTTGAGCAGGGCTAGTCGCGGCAGCCATTTTACAGGATGACTTGCCTCTACTTCCTTGGGCTGCAGTGTAGGAGCTGCACAGGGGAGAGCTGGTGTGACCTGGGAGTCCTGAGGTGGTTTGCAGGAGGGGAGGTGGAGAGGGAGGAGCAGTTCTAGAACTACACCAGCTTGTCAGTTGAAGAATTTGGCACCACCGCATCCCTGGAGCTAGAAACCTTGGATTCAAGTTGATCTTCTTTCTACGCCTTACCCCATACCCTGGTCCTGTTAAGTCTAATATCACGGTGTCTCTTGTATCTGTCCCTTCTCCATTCCCACAGCTTCTGCCCTAGTTTAAGCCCTCATCATCTTTCACCTGGGTGACAGCCTTCTCAGTGGTTTTCCTGACACTAGTCTCTCATTTCCCCTGTCCAGCCATGCCACGCTGTCAGAGTGCTCGTCCCAAAGAAAGGCCAGCCTGTGTCACTTTCCTTCACCAAAGCCCTCAGTGACTCCCCTTTGCTACAGGGCATAGTCAAGGTCTTTAGCATGGTCTTCAAGGCTCTCCATGACCAGACCCTTACCTGGCTTTCCACTCCAGCCCCTGCCATGCGCACTGTTATCCGGCAAACCAGAACACTTGCTCTGCATGTGGTGCTCCCTCTGTCTAGAACACCTTTCTCCGCTTTCAGAATTCTTGTCAACCTTCAGTCCCCAGCTCCTTGACAAAGCCTTCCTTCATCCCTTCAGTGGGAATTTGTTACTTCTGTCTTAGTTGCAAGAGCCCTGGTGGCGCAGTGGTTAAGCACTTGGCTGCTAATTGAAAGGTTGGAGGTTCGAACCCACCAGCCGTTCTGTGGGGGAAAGATGTGGCAATCTGCTTTGGTAAAGATTATAGCCTTGGAAACCCTATGGTGCAGTTTTATTTTTTTCCTGGCATGTAAAATATTATTATTATTCTTTCTTTTTTTTAGTTGTACTTTAGATGAAGGTTTACAGAGCAAACTAGTTTCTCATTCAACAGTTAATACACATATTGTTTTGTGACATTGGTTGCCAACTCCACGACATGTCAACGCTCTCCCCTTCTTGACCTTGGGTTCTCCATCACCAGCTTTTCTGCCCCTTCCTGCCTTCTCGTCCTTGCCCTATGGGGTAGTTGTACTCTGTCCTTTAGGGTTGCTATGAGTTGAAATTGACTCATGGGTTTGATTTGGGTTTTATCTTAATAGCCCAGAGCAAGAGACTTTTCCTTTCTGCTACTGTTGAAGTTGTGTATGCTGCTTCCATGAGGTTTTAAGCTCCCTGAGGACATTATTGAATATAAGTAGGGACTTGTAATTAGGGATACAAGTTGAGACAGTAAGGAGCCCTGATGGTGCAGTGGTTATGCTTCCGTAAAGATTACAGCCTTGGAAACCCCACAGGGCAGTTCTACTCTGTCCTATAGTGTCACTATGAGTTGGAATCAATTCTACGGCGATGGGTTTGGTTGAGACAGTGTGACTGTGCACTGGGTTATGCTGGTATATGGGGGTGTGTGTGCTACTGCTTATTTTGGTGTCAGCCCTGGTGGTGTAGTGGTTAAGAGCTCAGCTGCTAATCAAAAGGTTGGCAGTTCAAACCCACCAGCCGCTCCTTGGAAACCCTATGGGGCAGTTCTTCTCTGTCCTGTAGGGTTGCTGTGAGTCAGAACAGACTCCATGGCACCTGACAACAACAACAACAGGGCTCTGAGCTGGGGGCCCTACACTGTTAATTCTTTTTCCTTTTTGGGGATAAGAAATCAAACCTTGAGAGAGCCAGCCTTCCAGACTTTTTGTGGTTTGCAGAGTGTTCAGCAGTCCTGTGGAAGGTGCCCCTCAGAGAACTTTCCCAGAACCAGAGCTTGTAAGGCCTGAGTTCTGAGCTGCTGGGGTCCCATCCTCTAACATCCCTGACTCCTGGGGAATCTCAGGCTAAGCTGGCTTTCAGAGTCTGATCTGACTCAAGTGCACCATAAGCCAGGTCCAACTTTTCCCTTTCTAAGCTGGGTCACTGATTTTTCCTTAGGTTGCAGGTCTCTGGGATCCAGGTGTTTGAGCCCCGACCAAACATGGCCGGACGACCCATTCGCATAGGAGACCAGCTGGTTCTGGAGGAAGATTATGATGAGACCTACATTCCCAGTGAGCAAGGTAAGAGGCCATTGGTGTATTGTAATAGTTCTTTGAGGGCAGGGACAATATATGATTTATTTTTGTGCTTCCTGTGCCATGTATGGTACATGCACATGGCTGCTCAGTATAATTGGATTAGATCGGGGTTGGCAGACTATAGCCCATGGGCCTAATCTGACCTGTTGCGCGTTTTTGTAAATAAAGTTTTATTGGAAAATGGCCATGCGTATTTGTTTATGTGTTATCTATGGCTGCTTTTGTGCTACAGTGATAGCATTGAGTAGTTGTGACAGTGATCATATAACCCACAAAACCTAAAATATTTACTACCTGCCCTTTATAGAAGAGGTTTGCTCACCCTGGGTTAGATCAATGATTTGTTTTGAATGAAAATATAGTAAGGGATATCATGAAATAGAGTGTGTCCTGAGGCTAATCGAAAGCCCATTTTCTTAAGAACAAACTAAAGCATATTTTTAAAACAATAGTAACATTATTAATAACAATAACATAATTTATTGAGTGCTACTATGTTTCAGGCACTGTTCTAAGAACTTTACGTGTATTAACCTTTTCAACCCTGATAGCAACTCCATTAGTTAGGTACTATTATTATCCCCATCTTACAGATGAGAAAACCAAGGCACAGAAAGGTTAAGGAACTTTCCTACACTTACACAGTTCTGCTAATTGGTGGAGCTAGGACCCACACCCAGGTATTATAACTCCAGAGCCTACACTTTTAACTAATCACTCTGCTGTTTTTTTGGGTGAAGATTCCTTTGACATTCTGATGAGTTACAGACTTAGGCACACAAATTTAGCTTACAATTTCAGGTAGTTTATGGACCTTTTAGAGGGGGCGGGGATTTAAAAACTCCTGCATCCCAGGAGTAATGGATGTCAAATTAAACCCTGGACTTTGCTTATAGCATAGAGTTTTATTTGTTAATTTTTTTGCCATAAAGAAGTCTTTTATTTTTATGTTAAATTTATCAGTCCATTCTTATATGGCCTCTAAATGTTGTATAATAGTTAGAAATGCCTTTCCACTCCAAGGATAAAATACTTTTCTTGTGTTTTCTATGATTTCATTTTTTTACATTTAAATCTTTGATCAATATGGAATTTCTCTCCTAGTGTATGTTGTGGAGTATGGATCTAATTTTCTTTTTATCCAGATACCTATTAATTGTTCCTGTGCCATTAATAGAATATTTCATCTTTTCCCCACTGATTTGGATGCCACCCTGTGTGTATTTGGTCTACTTTCTTCTGGTCCATTGGACTGTTTATTCATATACTGGTACCATGCTCTTAATTTGTTCATAATTAATTTTAATATCCAGTAGGGCTAAAACACCCTCATTACTCTTCTTTTTTCAAAGTTTTCTTGGCTATCTTGTTTGTTTTATTTCCCCATGAACCTTAGAATCACCTTGTCCAGTTCTGGAGAGGACTGAGTATGGGGGAACTGTTGGTATTTTGGGAGGAATTATTTTAAATTTATGAACACCTAGGGAAGATTGATATCTTTATGAAGTTAAGTCTTCTATCCAAGAACATCATATTCTTTTCCATTTGTGTCTTTTTTGGTGTCTGTGATCATTAAGGTTGTGTGTCAACTTGGCTGGGCCATGATTCTCAGCAGTTTGGCAGTTATGATGTAATTTGGTAGTCATGTGATGATGTGACCACTTTCATGGTGACATTTGATATAATGTGATCACCTCCGTGATGGAATCTGCTGTGAGTAGCCAGTCAGTTGAAAGGGGGCTTCCTTGGGCATGTAGCCTGCACTGAATGTAAGTGAACTCTCTGCCAAGGCTTTCAGGCTTTTGCTTGCTGTGGATACTGCGGCTGTCTCCTGTTCATCTGACCTCCAGTTCTTGGGATTTGAGCTAGCAGCTTACCTGTGATCTTGCCTGCCAGTCTTGGGATTTGTGGGTCTTTGAAGCCTGTGAATAAGAGCCCTGATGTCTGACCTTCTGATCTTGGGTTTGCGAGCCCCTGTGGCTACGTGAATCAGGAGAAGCCTCCAGCCTGACCTATGGATTTGAGACGTTCCAGCCTCTGCAACCATGTGGGCTATTTCCTTGATATAAATCTCTTTATATAGATATTTATATGCTTTACTGGTTTTGCTTCTCTAGAGAAGCCAGCCTAAGATAGACTCCATTTACAATAGCAACCAAAAAAGATACAATATTTAAGAAATACACTGAGCAAGAAATGTGCAAGACTTATGTGAAGAAAACTTTAAATCACTCCTGAAGTATACTGTCTTAGGCTCGGTTCTTAAATATTTTATCTTTTTCATTGCTATTGTAAATGGAGTCTATCTTAGGCTGGCTTCTCTAGAGAAGCAAAACCAGTGAAGTGTGTATGTATATATGTGTGTATATATATATATATATATAGAGAGAGAGAGAGAGAGACTGGCAAGTCCCAAGTCCATGGGTCAGATGTCAGAGACTGGAGGCTTCTCCTGACTCATGTAACTGCAGGGGCTGACAAGATTGGCAGGTCAGACGGCAGGCTGCTGGCTCACAGGCTGAGGAGGCTGATGAATCCCAAGACTGGCAGGCAATATGACAGGCTTCTGGCTCAAGTCCCAAGAGCTGGAGGTCAGATGATGACAAGCTGGGTGCAGGATCCAGAGCAAGCAAGTGAGCTTTGCCAGAATGTCCATGTGTATATATTGTATGCAGGCCACGCTCCTGAGGAAACTCCCCTTAAAACTGATTAGCTGATCACATCATGGGGGATGACTACGTCATTATATAACTGCCAAACTACATTATTACATAACTGCCAAACCACTGAGAATCATGACCCAGCCAAGTTGACAACAACCTTAACTATCACAGAGTCTAATGTTTTTCTAAGGATGTTTATAAAAACTCTATTCTGCTCAGCCCAAGTTTAGACATTCTGAGCTCAAGACATCATTTTCTCTTCCTAGACTATCTCAATAGCTTCCTAATCAGCCTCCCAGCTTATACTCTTCCCATCCTCCAGTCTATGCTCCACAGAGTAGCCAGAGTCATCTTCTTACAGTGTAAATCAGATCATATCAGGGCTCTGCTTTTAATAAATTTGCATTGTACTAAGTAGCGCCCCCTTACTGTGGTGTGCAGGGCTCTTCATGACTCGGTCCAGCCCACCTGGCTAGGTTCACCTGGTGCCACTTCTTCCCTTGCTCGCTCTGCTAGTCACATTGGCCTTCCTTGACAGCCCTGAGGTGGACCAACCTGTTTCTTGCCACAGGTCCTTTGCATATGCTCTTTCTCATAACTGAATGGTCTGTCCTCAGTGCTCTGCATGGCTGGCTCCTTGCCTCCTTCAGTTTTCAGCTAAACGTTACCATTCCCGAGAGGCTTTCCTTGACCACCCTTTCTGAAGGAGTGCCCCCTCCACCTTAGTGTTCTGTGTCTCATCCTTTGCTGTCTCAGTTATCTAGTGCTGCTCTAACAGCAGTAACACATATGGGTGGCTTTAACAAACAGAAAGTTATTTTCCCATGCTTTAGGAGGCTAAAAGTCTGAATTCAGGGTGCCAGCTCTAGGGGAAGACTTTCTCTCTCCCTCAGCTCTGGAGGAAGGTCCTTGTCTCTGTGAACTTCTACTCCTGGGCAGTCTTCATGTAGCTTGGTATCTCCTTTCCCCTTTTATATCTCAAAAGAGATTGACTTAAGACATACCCTACACTAATACTGTCTTATTAAAATAACAAAAAAACCCATTCTCAGATGGGATTGTGACCATGGGTATGGGGTTAGGATTTACAACCCATACTTTTGGGGGATGCAATTCAATTCATAATACTCGTTTACTTCTTTCATTACATTTATTAGAAGCTTTAATCTTTTATATTTATTCGTTTACCTCTTTACTGGCTGTCTCTTCTATTAGAATATAATCTCCATAAGGGCAACGACATATATCTCTTATTCATGGCTATCCGAAGTGCCTGGCACATAGGAAGCACTCAAAAAACATTTGTGAAATCAATGAATCAGTTAATCCCTGGCTAGATATGGTCCCTTGAAAAAATGCTTTTTCTTTCCTAGTCCTGGGTGTGTCAACCTCCAAATTCTCCACTGAGATGACCCATCATGATGGTACCTTCCTGGCCTGGGCTGTTAGCAGCTCAAGCTTTGCTGCCCCTTGAGTATTTATTTCTTTATTCCTGGGGCCTCCGGTGACATGTTCCAATGATCATGTGATCTATCTTTTTCTCTCCTGGTGAGATAGCTCTTACCTCAGTACATATATCTCCCCTGTTCCTCCAGATCACAGGCAAAACAAGCTTTTCTAAATGCTTGGATTCCAAGAGTACAGCAAAAGCATTAGAGTCCATGATGTACAGCAAAATTGAAAAAGCAACTCCCTTCATGGGAGAGAGAGTTCAGTGTGTGGGTGAAGAAGGCTGTCTGAGTATCATCCCACTTCCTCACTTCAGAAATCCCTCAGCCCCTCGGCAGAATAAACCACTGCCCTCTCTCTGCTCCCATAGCTCATAGTACACATCTGTGTTATTGCACATATCACCTGATTTGTGCTCTTTTTGTATGTTTGTGAGGTTCTCAAGGGGCTTAGTCGTCTGTAGTTGTTTAAGACATGCTTGTTGAGTAAGTGATTAGTGCTTTCGCACCAGGCTTTAGCAAATCTTGGAAGAGCTGTGTCCTTCCGGTAAGGCTGTCCTCATACTAGACGGTTCTGGCTGTGGCTGTTGGAGTTTTTCCTGAGGCCCCTGCCACAATGAAGTCTTGGTCTTATATTTTTGTCTTTGTTATACTAGGCTTCAGGTGATATTCTTGGAGTATAGAGATAGCATGCCTTGATTCAGGTGTATCATTTATAAACTGAGATTTAAGAAAAAAAGATATGTTTATTATTTATATTAAGAGAAATAATACCTGCTCACTGAAGAGAATTTAGAAAGTAAAGGCAAAATAGAAAAAAAGTTTATTGTGATTTTTGTTTTTCTAACCATCCTCCATTCCATCTCTCTTACCTTCCCCACCCTCCTGCCTCTCCTACAGAAATTCTTGAATTTGCCAGAGAGATTGGTATCGATCCCATCAAGGAACCAGAACTGATGTGGTTGGCACGGGAGGGCATTGTGGCCCCACTGCCCATGGAGTGGAAACCATGGTAAGTCAGCATCAGATATGGTCAGCCCACTGACTTGGCTGGTCAGAGGCCATGGGAGCCTGACACCAGACATCAGCTTTAACTGGCCACCTTCTCCAATCCTGTCCTGCACAGAGTCAGGGACAGCAAAGTGCCATTTCTCTGCTAGGCTGCCTGATGTTTTGGGCCTGAGCCTAGGCTGATTTGATGGTCCCTTTGGAGTACCTGGATGGTGAAAATGGTTACTGTCTTGGCTGCTAACTGAAAGGTTGGAGGTTCAAGTCCACCCAGAGGTACCTTGGAAGAAAGGCCTGGTGATTTACTTCCAAAAAAATCATCCAGGAAATCCCTATGGAGCCCAGTTCTACTCTGACACAATGGGGTCACCATGTGTCAGCATTGGTTTGATGACAGCTGGTTTGGTTTTTGGTTATAATGGGGTTTAGTACTTATATCTGAAGTCAAAGTTGCTCCTGCCTTGGGTCAGATCCTTTCGCACCACCATCTGTTTTGGACATGCTAAGGAGGTGTTGTTATTCCTTGCAAATTGATATTGAGAATGGCAGCTTTACCTCTGTAGTATGTCCAGAATGGATGCTGGTGCTTTAGAGGTTTGTGGTGAGCCTTCGCAGACTGGCAAAGGGTTTCTTTCTCCCTTGGCAACCCACTGTGGCTCTGCCATCCTAATTTGCGTAACCTATTCATGAATAGTGTCTTAGCTAGTGCTGCTGGAACACAAATGCCACAAGTGGGTGGCTTTAAAGAGCAGAAATTTATTTTCTCACAGTTCTGAAGGCTGAAAGTCCAAATCAAGCTCTCAGCCATGTCGATACCTTTCTTGTCAGTAGCCTGGGTGTTCTTTGGCTGCTTGGCCTGTAGACCATCCTCGCATGGCATCTGCCTTCCCAGTATATGCTTGCTTCTGTATCTGATCTGGTGTTTTTATAATTCAGAAGTGGTTAGGACACACCCTGCGATGATATGGCCCCATTAACATAACAAAGAAAATCCTATTCCCGAACAAGATCACATCCAACATATATTTTTGGGGGTGGGGGTGGTGGACAATTCAGCTCATAGCAAATAGGTTCATATTTGCGAATTTGCTCTTATTTTCAATTTTAGTTAGAGCTCTTTGGATTGCAAGGAGCAGAGACTCACTTAGGTTATCTCAGGGAAAGAGAGGTTTATGGTGAGGAAACTCAGACTGGCCAAGGTAGGAAAGCTAAAAGGAGCTATGGTTGCTGCTCCTGTCTCCCTCTTCCTGAGGACTGCCTTGTCCCAGTCATGGTGATACTGTTGCCTCTGTTCTTCACGTTTGTCTGCTCTCCGCTAACTTCCTGCTTCCTTTTCACGTGTGCAGAGCTCTCTCCAAGTTGTCTCCCTGAAGTGAGTGCTATAAGCTTACTTCCTACCTGAAAGTGGAATTTCCCTATGTTGGTTGCAGACTTGTCTCCAGGTGTCTTTGGGGGTCCCCTTTTATGCCAGGGTTGTGGGATTTTGTATACGAGGCATAATTAGCATGTTCTTATCCATACCATTTATTACTTTGGCCATACTTCAAAATGACTAGTTGTAGCCTTACCCTTCTCAGCTGAAGAATCCTAATCCTTTTAGCTTTTCCTCACATGGCAGCCTCCCTGTTCTCTTGATCTTTTTAGCTGCCTTTCCTTGGACCTCCTCCAGTTTCCTGACATCTTTCTTGTGGTAATTCTGTCAGTGATGCACACAGTATTCCAGATGCTGAGGACTCGTGGTTGTGTTTGTAGGATTGGTTTGTAGGATGGTGGTTTCTGCTTTGTTTCCAGTACGCATCCTGATGGAAGGAAGGAACTATCATTGGTTATGGGCCATCTGTGTGCTAGCTGCCTTCTTGTACCTGCTAGTGGTGACTAACACTCTCTCGTCCTATAAGGAGAGTGTGGACCATTTTTCACTTTTTAAAATAAAGTAAGTCATTAAAACTTATGTATACTGCCATCTTTTACCCTTATTCCCTTTCCCAAGGGTAATTACTGTTACTTGATGAATTTTTTCAATTTTCAGAAGAGTTTGTGTAGAATTGGTGTTATTTCTTTCTTAAATGTTTGGCAGAATTCACCAGTTAAACCATTGGAGTCTGGAGTTTTCTTTATGGGAAGATTTTTAACTACAAATTTAGTTTCTTTAATAGATACAGGATTATTGAGGCTTTTCTTGAAAGAGCTTTGGTAGCTTGTGTCTTCCAATGAATTTTATCTGAGTTGTTGAATTTGTTAGCATAAGATTAAGATAGTTGATAGTATTGTCTTATCCTTTCAATATCTGTGGTTATATGACCTCTGTCATTCTTGATAGAAACCCTGGTGGCATAGTGGTTAAGAACTACTGCTGCTAAACAAAAGGTCGGCAGTTCAAATCCACCAGGTGCTCCTTAGAAACCCTATGGGGCAGTTCTCCTCTGTCCTGTAGGGTCGCTATGAGTCAGAATCGACTCAATGGCAGTGGGTTTGGGTTTTTTTTTTTTTTTTTTTTTTCTCATTTTTTTTGTTTTTTTTTTTTTTTTTTTGTCTCATTCTTCATATTGGTTATTTGTATTTTCTCTATTTTCTGATTACTCTGGCTAGAGATTTATAAGTTCTATTAATCTTCTCAAAGAACCATGTTTTGCTTTCATTGATTTTCTCTTTCCTATTTCATTGATTTTTACTCTGATCTTTATTATTTCTTTCTTCTGTTTATTTTAGATTCAATTTGCTCTTTTCCTAGTCTCTTAAGGGTTCACTGTTTTAATTACCATAGCTATATAATAAGAGTTAATATTGGTAGGACAGACGCTTCTATATAGTCCTTAAATTTGTCTTGGCAATTCTCGGTCCTTTACTCTTCCATCGAGGAGCCCTGGTGGTGCAGTGGTTAAAGTGCTCAGCTGCTAACCAAAAAGTTGGCGGTTTCAACCCAACAGCTGCTCCTCGGGAGAAAGATGTGACTGTCTGCTTCTGTAAAGATTTATAGTCTTGGAAACCCTGTGGAGCAGTTCTGCTCTGTTCTATAGGGTCACTCTCTGTTGGAATTGACTCAACAGCAGTGAACTCAGGCTTAAATATTTTTCCATATGAAATTTAGTTTCTCAAAATCTGCCAAAAACTCTTGAAATTTTGATTGGGATTGCATGTGTATTTTATAAATTAATCTGGGGAGAATTGATATCTTTGTAATACCAAGCCTTTTGATCCATGAGCTTTTTTAGGCCCAAATTATGTCCTTCAAAAAAAAAATTCACAATATTCTTCTTAAAATATAGCACATCCTCTGTTGGATTTATTCTAGAGTACCGTCTAATTTTTGGTTGCCATTGCAGGTGGAGTCTTTTAAAATTATTATGGCATTTCTAATTGATTATTACTGGTGAATAGGAGCACTATTGCTTTTTATTATTGGCTTTTATTACTGATCTTATATAACCAGCTGTTGTGTTGACTAAACCATTATTTTAATGGTTTGTAAATCTCTTAGATTTTCTATGCAGAAAAATCATGTAATCTGCAGATAGTCTTTCTATTTCTTCTTGATTCAATTTTGGTAACCTGTTTTTCTAGAAAATTGTCCATTTGGCCTAAGTTTTCTAGTTTATCATCATCAATTCTTAATTTCCTTTTATGGTTTTAGAATGTCTACTGTATCTGTAGTGATGTCCCCTTTGTTTGTAACTTTTTATCTTCCTTGACCAATCTTTCAGAAGTTTGCTTGGTTTATTAATTTCTAAAAAAAAAAAAAAAAACCCAGATTTTTTTGGTTGAACTTTGTCATGAATTGAATTGTGTTCCCCAAAAATATGTGTCAACTTGGCTAGGCCATGATTCCCAGTATTGTGTGATTGTCCACCATTTTGTCATCTGATGTGATTTTCCTGTTGTAATAAATCCTACCTCTATGATGTTAATGAGGCAGGATTAGAGGCAGTTATGTTAATGAGGCAGGACTCAATCTACAAGATTAGGTTGTGTCTTAAGTCAGTCTCTTTTGAGATATAAAAGAGAAGCGAGCAAAGAGACACTGGGACCTCATACCACCAAGAAACAAGAG